CCTCCCCCCTCCCCCGGACTTCCTTGTGCCGGTTCCCCCCCCGGTAGACCCCCTTCCCCCTCAGGTTCCTGCTCCCTCAGGTGTGTCCCAGGTAGACGCCGTTGACCCGGTCGAGGTTACTGGTGACTCTGGTGCTGCTGCGGGTGCTGAGCCTGGGGGTGCTGACTCTGGGGGTGCTGTCCGCGGGGGTGCTGAGCCTGGAGGAGCTGCTGCTGGGGCTCCTGAGCCTGGGGGTGCTAGTGCGGAGGGTGCGGAGCCTAGGAGTGCTGCGCCGGGGGGTGCTGTCACTGGAGGTGCTGGGTCTGGGGGTGCTGAGTCGGGAGCTGCTGAGCCTGGGGGTGCTGAGTTGGGAGCTGCTGCGCCTGGGGGTGCTGTGTCTGGAGCTGCTGAGCCTGGGGGTGCTGCGTCTGGAGCTACTGCGCCTGGGGTTTCTCCTGCTGCTCAGCCTCCCCGGGAGCCTCTCTCTCCACAGGAGCTGCGCGAGTGGTTCGCTCGTCGTTGGAGGCGTGCTGCTGAGTCTGGGGGTGCTGCTGGAGCTGGAGCTGGACCTTCTTCGACTGACGAGGGTGCTGGTGCTGCCGGTCCCGGAGCTGCTGGGCCTGCGGGTCCTCTTGGAGCTGGCGCTGCTGAGGGTGTTGGTGCTGAGACTGCTGCCGTTGGTCCTGCTGCTGGAGGAGTTGGTGGCCCTGGTGCTGTCGCTGAGGGTGCTGGAGCTGTCCCTGCTGCGCCTGGAGCTGCTGAGCGGCCTCGACCGTACTTCGTTCCGCTACTGCAGCAGGTTCTTGGTCTTTCTCCTCCGGTAGAGAGTCCACCGCCTGTCCAGTCGCAGTCCCTGCTGGAGCCTTCCTCTCCGCTACCTGCTCCCTCTCCTTACACTGGTCCTACTGGAGGTCTTGCTGAGCGTCGTGAGCCTGCGTCTCGTCCTGCGTCGCCTGTTCGTCCTGCTCGCGCTACTGGTCGCGGTTCGCGTCAGCGTCCTCCTCCTGTCCCTGGCACGCACCAGATGTCTTTGCGTCCGTCCACTGCTCCTCTGCGTGCCCCTTTGCCTTCTCCTCCTGCGTCCTCTCTTCCTGCGCTTGCCGACCCTGCGTCGGACTCTCTGCGTGCTGCCAGTCCTACTGTCACGCGTTTCCTTGCTACTGTGGTCACTGACCCTTCTTTCGAGTCTTCTGCTGCGTCTGCCCTACTCTCTGAGCTTGTCGACTTTGCTGCTCGCTGTCGCTTAGACTACGCTGCTAGTCTTGTTGCTGAGTCTGCGTCTGTCTGTCCTCCGTCCGTCGGGGGTGAGTGTGCTCTTGGCACGGACGTCCTAGAGGACAGGCAGGAGGAGTTACAGTGTCTAGCGGCTGCTTCACCTCATCTCGCGTCTGTACTGCTTGCCCCTGAGGGAGACCCGGATGCACTAGACATCCCGACTCCACGTTCTTACGCTGAGGCTGTAGAGGGTCCCTACTCCTCTCAGTGGCAGGCAGCTATGGATGCAGAGATGGCTTCCTGGAAGTCCACAGGCACCTACGTTGACGCAGTTCCCCCTCCTGGGGCGAACATCGTCAGTGGCATGTGGATCTTCAGGGTGAAGCGGCCGCCGGGCTCTCCGCCTGTCTTCAAGGCGCGTTACGTCGCTCGTGGCTTCAGTCAGCGGCAGGGAGTTGACTACTTTCAGACCTTCTCTCCCACCCCGAAGATGACTACTCTTCGGGTGCTGCTGCACGTTGCCGCTCAGCGCGACTACGAGCTTCACTCTCTCGACTTCAGCACTGCGTTCCTGCAGGGTAGCCTGCACGAGGAGATCTGGCTGCGCCGTCCGCCTGGCTTCACTGGGACTTTCCCTCCTGGCACCCAGTGGAGCCTCCGACGGCCAGTCTACGGTCTCCGCCAGGCACCGCGTGAGTGGCACGACACACTGAGGACTACGCTTGCGGCTCTTGGGTTCGCTCCTTCCACTGCTGACCCGTCGCTGTTTCTTTGCACCGACACTTCCTTGCCGCCGTTCTACATCCTCGTGTACGTCGACGACTTGGTCTTTGCCACAGCGGACACTGCTGGACTCGCCTACGTGAAGTCTGAGCTGCTGAAGAGACACACGTGCACAGACCTGGGTGAACTGCGCAGCTACCTTGGCTTGCAGATCACTCGGGACAGAGCACGCCGCACCATTACCCTGACTCAGTCACACATGGTGCAGCAGGTCCTTCAGCGCTTCGGCTTCACGTACTCCTCGCCTCAGGCCACTCCTCTGCCTACTCGCCACTCGCTCTCAGCTCTGCCTTCGGATGAGTCCGTAGAGTCGAGTGGCCCGTATGCAGAGCTTGTTGGCTGCCTCATGTACCTGATGACCTGCACACGACCTGACCTTGCATACCCTCTGAGCATTCTTGCACGCTATGTTGCTCCTGGGAGACACCGACCTGAGCACATGGCTGCAGCGAAGAGGGTATTGCGCTACCTGTGCAGTACGTCGGGCATGGGGCTAGTGCTTGGAGGGCGGAGTCCAGTGGTCCTTACGGGCCACGCGGACGCTTCTTGGGCTGACGACCAGGCTACGCAGCGGTCGTCACAGGGTTACACCTTCAGCCTTGGTTCCGGCTCTGTCTCGTGGCGGTCTACTCGCTCGTCTTCGGTTCTCGGCTCCAGTTGTGAGGCTGAGATCTACGCCGGGGCCATGGCTGCACAGGAGCTTCGCTGGCTCACCTACCTGCTGACTGACCTTGGAGAGCCGCCTCGTTCTCCTCCAGTGCTGTACGTAGACAACAAGGCCATGCTGGCCTTGTGTCGAGAGCAGCGTCTGGAGCACAGAACGAAGCACATTGCTCTCCGCTACTTCCTTGCTCGTGAGCTGCAGCAGCGTGGTCAGCTGCGACTTGCGTACGTGGCCTCTGAGGCCAACACTGCTGATGTGTTCACCAAGGCACTCGCGCCTTGTGACCATCAGCGCTTCTGTACCCAGCTGGGTCTTGTGCCTGTCTTGCCTCACTTGCTCTCTTCCTGACTTCACTTGTACTGTGATCTATATATATACCTGCTCTTGCTTGTCTAGTAATATATATATGTCTGTACTCCTGCATGTGAACTGGCCTCTGGCCCTGTTCTTGTGCTCGGACTGTGTGGTGACTTTGTGATCCACCCTGAGCTTGCTTTGGTTTGCTTGACTGGTCTTGTGACCCCTTGTTCTCCCCCACTTTGCCTATGGGGGTGTGTCAGAACATTATAGCTAATACATGTTTGTAGGCTGTAGTGGGGTAGCACATATGGGGTACAGATTCCTAGGGTTTGTTATTTGTACCAATTTCTGACTTAGTCATCACCCATTCCTCTTCTCATTTGTTTCACAAAGAGTCGTGTAAGCAGTAAGTGGGATGCGGATTAAGGAAAAGGATTGTTCTTAATATTTAAAGAAAATCCTTCTTGTATCGGGGCATATACACGTGCAGATGGTTTCTATAGCTGTTCCACACCACCTGAAACACGAAACTACCATCCCGTCCCGTCCCGTTTCGTATTTGTGGCACTCATATCCACAAATCGACCCTCCTGGAAGCGAGATCTACTGTTCGAGCTGAGCCGTGCATCGTGGGTTGTGAGTTGTGACCACGTGCTCCAAACCGTTCGCCTTGCAGAATTCCCAAATGTGAGCTGACTCAGCAGATGTTCCAACATCTCCATTGTCAGGGGGGCGTGCTGCCGCAGGTGGGATATCAGGTTGTTTTTGTGATCAGAATTACGAAGTCTGCCTGATACAGTAAATCTGCACAGATGGTAAAAAACAGCCATGATTCGCAGGTGTCTTCACAGGTTCTGTTGGTGTCAGCTTTCGCAGAAAGGTGGGAAGCACACGGAAGGATGGCAGCGGTATGTTAAAGGTGCCAACTAGGATTTCAGTTGCGGTCGGTTTACTTTTGTCGCCAAGTTGAGGCTTGGTGGGCCATCCACCAAAGAGTAACGTGGAATCCGAAGCGAATGACGCAATTCCCTCCAAAAGCTCCCTCCTGGGCCGATTCGGCTCAAACCCCACATCACCCAATCGCTGGCAGTGACTAGATGAGATGGTGATTGATAGACAAACAGAAAACAGTTTCGAGGTCTATCATAGGCGGTTGGCGCGACAGCGCGCCAGGTCGTGCCCGATATAAACGTTTTGTCCTGCCCAGCGATATCTTTCGGGCATGAGGTCACGCGAGGTTGCCGACGTGCAACGGAGGTGGCAGAGCGCGCCAGTTATGTTTCCAAACACCGAACCGATGTGGTTTCCTCCCTTCCCCCCCACCCCCCCGCCCACCCCACCCCATCCCCCCAACTGCTCGCATCAACGCAACAGCCACTCCACATCTCTCCGCCTTCCATGTCCACTCAATCTCCACCACATCCCTCCCATCCATCCATCCGCCCGCTGCGCATGGCCAACCTCCAAACCACCAAGACCTATCTCCTCTCGTCCTCTCTGCTCCGCTGCAAACCCAAGCCACCTGACTAACTCGCGTCCCTCCAGCTGCTCCGCCAAACCGAAAGTGAAACCCTCGTTTTGCTTTCACCGTCACCACCACTCACAAGGTCTTCTCTTCCACCGTTTTACCGATTCTGAAAGCAGTCGTTACAGGAATTTGGGCTTGGTTTAGTACCCTTCAGTTTTGAGCGTCGTAGAAAGTCTAACCCCATGGGGGCGTCTACCTCCACCTTCGCAAGTCCAGGCGATCCAAAAGATGCAGTAGATAATAACGAGAGTCTACCGGAAGCCACGCAACCAGAGCTAGCTCGAGCTTCAAGCCCCAGCCACCATGACGTGGACAGAGCGGAGAACTCAGCTGCGTGCATGCTGGACAGGACGCACTTATCGAACCAATCGGATGGGCCCTGTCGGAAGCGCACGACGATAGACAGCCTTCCGGTACGTTCGTTTTCCAGTTGTATCGTCAATCGCGACGCATAATTAGAACTGGGTGTTTTTCAGAACCTGGAGGCGTTGTGACCTTTTTTCTTTAATTCGTGGTCATGGTTGGGTGCAGGAGGAGGTCCTCGTGAAAGTCCTCGCTGCCGTCAGTTCCACCGCGGAAAGCCCCGCCGAGGTCATCGCGCCCTCCATGACGTAAGTAGGCAACGCAACTATTGATTCACCCTTAAGGAAAGTGTAGATTTGTCGCTCCATATTTTCCAATATGTACATTTATCTTTTGTTTCTTCGCGTTTCTTCATCCAGATGCCGGCGGTGGAAGCGAGCGAGTCAAGACAGGGACGTGTTGTGCTCCACGTCGAGGGGCGGCGTGGCGGTGCGAGCGAGGCAGTGGAGCATCGGCGCCTTCACGTTTCTACGACGACTGAGCGAGAACGGCTGTCTAGAGGCCTGCTTCATGCTCGCCATGGTGCGTGCCTTCCCGCCTGCTTGCTCTCCTCTCCTCTCCCCCCTTTCGCGCACCTTCACCCATGTGCCAATCCTCGCCGTCTTCCCCTGTATTCCCATGTTGCTATCCGTGACCCTTCTCGCCTTCGTCCTTAGCACGACTCTTGCTAACCTCCCGCGAACCTTCGCCCCTGCCCATTGCATTCGTTCTCCCATCAGATCCTCTTCTACTGCATCCCCGAGGCGCAATTTGAAGGCGGGCGGCTTCTCATGTATTCCGCGCGGCAGGGGCACGCGGCCTCGTTGCATGCGGCGAGCATCCTCAGCTTTAACGGTAGCGGTCTAGGCCAGCAGAGCAAGGACATCAAAGTCGGCGTCGCGCTCTGCGCGAGAGCGGCGGCTCTCGGCCACACAGAAGCCATGCGGGAACTAGGCCACTGCCTCTTGGACGGATACGGAGTGCGCCAGGACGTCCAAGAAGGTTGGAGGATGCTCCTCGAGGCGCAAGCTGCTGAACTCTCACCGGAATCTTCCTCTCACGTGTCTTCGCTCTCGTCGCTTCTCGCTTCCGGCGGCAAGCGAAAGAGTGAAGCTGATACTGGCGTCGCTGCTAAGAAGATGCGCGGTTTTGATGCCCTCGGTAATGTCGCCGCCGTGGGTTGCGCTGAGCAGGAGACTGCGGTGCAGACGCTGCTGGGCGTGGAGTCCAAGGGCGCGTTCACAGAGCACGGCATGCCCGTGTCTCCCGCAGGGGTCAACTCAAGGCCTCCCTTCGTTTTTCGCGTCGACGCTTCCGCTTGCGGACAGCCCGCCGCGCTCCCGCCGAAGAAGCCCGCCGCTCCCGTCGCTGCGTGGACGAGTCCCCTCGAGGCGACCAAGTTCGCCCGACCTGCGCGACAGGTTCGCCAGGCGCGTCGCCAAGCCCGGAATCCGTCGCAGGACTCGCAGGCGCAGCACCTGCAGGGAAAGACGGCCGTCGTGCTTAAGCTTCTCGCGGCGCTGAAGGCCGGCAGCTTAAAGCTAACCGCCGAGTCGATCGCCAAGCTGCAGCCGATTCTATCCAGCGTGCAGACGTCGCTGCGCGCCACTGCTGTTCACCCTGCACACGTGTTCGTCAAGGATTGGTTCGCCGCAAGGGCGGCTAAGAAGTGCGAGAAGAGCACCGCGTGCGGCGATTTGGCGAGCGCGAAGGACACGGTGGGCGACGCTGGGCTCGGTTTTTGCAACCGCGAGTCTTGCGGCAGGCCTGAGAAGCGCGCGCTGGAGTTTTGGCGGTGCTCCACCTGCTGGAACGCGCGCTACTGCAGCCGTTCGTGCCAGCTGCATGACTGGCACGCCAGTCATGGCGGGGAGTGCTGCGCACAGGCTTCTGTGGCTGCCGGCGCTGCTGCGTTTGCTGGTGTAATAAGCGCGGAACGTGGGGATGTGCGACTCGCGCCTCTTCCCTGATTTCTGTCTTGCTGCTTCAGATGGGGACCCCTATGCTTTGCCTGGGCCTCTGTTACTGTACTTGTTTATATAGTAATTCCTTTTTGGTATAGTTCATGATTTTGTGAAGATATTTAAACACTTGATCGTCAAACTAAAACGGTTTTATATGGTTGGATTGGTTTCCCTAAACTCAAATCTATTCTCACTGCTATTGTGGCCCTATTTGATAGTAGTGGAGTGGGTCATTGTAATTCCTCATTGTAATTCCTCACTGTACTCGCACTTTAGCGAGTACATCCTGAGGGTCACACGACGAACCTGTTCTGCCTAATTCGTCGGCCGAACCACTCCCGAGTCGGCCTCCGCCCCAATCGCAACCATCACTGAGCCATCTTCGCCCTACCTCTTCGCCTAGCTAGCTTTTCCCCTATTTAGGCGTGCCATTCTTATTGTATCGTCATTCAGTAGTCAACCATTCTCGTTATTCGTTTTACTGCGCACTCTGCAAGTTCATTCATAATACCTGGTATCAAAGCTACTTTCCTAGCTCATCCCGCCTTTTAGAGTGTAATACCCCTCGGGGGGGGGGGGGGGGGGGGTGGGGGGCGGGGGGACGCGGAAGGATGTCTTGGGGTCCAGGAGTTGCGTAGGCCGGCCAGGAGAACTAGTTAGTTGCTCCTCGCGGCTATGCTTTTACGAGTACTCCTTGGGCACCGCCAAATCCTTGCCTCGAACGGTCGCGATCGACCGTGGCCTCCATCCCCCCGGGCGACGGACAGTTGCAGCTGTCGCGACATTAAACGTGAGTTTCTATTCCGCTGCGGTTTTAACGACGATTTCGGAATTTCGTGAAGCAGCTGGCGTCAGCGGACCTGCGTCGGCACCTGCACGATTTTTTCGGAAGTCATCACGATGAGTGGCAGTTGACGACGTTGGAACTGAGTCAACAGTTGCGCGACAACTTCGGAGTCATTCCATGCGGCAAGTGACAACCAAGGCTTCAGATTTGTTTTGGGGCACACTTTGTAATCAGGTTTGTAGGTGTAGTCAAATATGATGTCTAGGGTAAATTTTTTTTCCCCTTGACAAAGGCAGGGTAATTTGTTTTTTGGCCTGACGAAGGCAGGGTAAAATCTTCGTTACGCTGAAACAGTCAGAGTAATTTTGGCCTTACACTGATTTCACCAGCAAATCTAATTTCACCCCATGAGTTCACACTACATTAACTACATAATCACAATGTGCAATGCACCAGCTACATAATCCCTTGCACGCATTCCAGCACCTACAGCTACTAGTCATTCGCCAACAGGGTCAGAGGACTCTACAACGGCTTCAGCGAAAATAGCCTCGCCCGGGTTTGTGCCACTAAAGTCCTTAGTCGATCTCCGCAGCTTCTCTCCCCTGAAGATGGACACCACTTCGTACGAGTCCACGTCGTGCTGCATCAGGGAACAGCGCATCAAATGCTCCAGGGTGATGTCCGAGATGCTGCCACGGTCCCACGTCTTGATCAAATTCTGCTTGCTGAACCCCCTCTCGCACTCGACCGTGCTCAGCGGTAGGACGGCAACTGCCTGCCACATCTTCATCAAGTTCCGGAATGAGTGCTGCCAGTCGTTGTCACGAAGCATGTTCCCGAATGCCTGGTGAAAGTCCTCGTTGTGTTGAGAGTACATTGTTGAGGTGAACATCCAGAGCTCGCTCTGTGCTCTGGTGTAGTCGAATCCTGTTGTACGGGTATGGGTTTAAACGGGGCTATACTCGCAGCAATCGGGTGGAAGGGTGAGGATTAAACAAAACAAACCTGGAGATACACAAGCGACCAGACGAGTAGTTATGAGAGTCTGCCGATCGTTAAGACTGAATAAAGCAGAAGCAGATGGGAAAACAACGCTGAAGGGAATGGGCCAAAACAATCAGGTACACACCATGAGGTCTACGAGCATACATGGAAGCTTCTTCCTTTAGAGCTTGTGCAGTTTAGCCAGCCATTTTTTGAAGTTTTCCACACGTTTGGCGTCGTCAGGTACGTACTGTATGAGGCTGACCGAAATAGCTTACACCCCTCCAGCTCCTCCAGGTCTTTCATCCGCCACTCCAGCTCCTTGTCGACAGCACGCACAAACTTCAGCGACAGCTCGAAACAAGCCGTTACATCTCCGTCCGTCTCCTACCCTTCGATGGGATTCTCGTGCAGCGTGTAGCTGAATTTCACAGGGTTGCCGTTCCTGTCCACGCCCTCTGCCTTCACCTCCCGCTTCTCCATCTTCTGATGGCGCTGAATGAAGTCGTTCAGTGTCATTTTCTCTCCACTCCCGAAGTGATGATACGCCTCAAAGTTGAAGTACCGGTTCTTCATGCGCATCCGTGTCTGGTCCAAGAGATGAGACACGAGCGTGACGTCGATCTGTTCAGACAGTACAGACGACAGGGTTAGCGACACATCTTTCTGGGCGTAAGCAGTCTATATACTTCAGATTCGTTTACCTGCCGTTGCTGGAACCGTTGGTTCAGATGGTTCAGCTCCCACAACACGTCAGCAAGCAGCCTGAGCAACCACTGAAACTTGAACGATGTGGCAATCTCGTACAGGTCATTGTTGTCCTCTTTGAGCACCATGATGGCTGCAGACAGGATCGCTCCCACAACACGTCAGCAAGCAGCCGGAGCAACCACTGAAACTTGAACGATGTGGCAATCTCGTACAGGTCATTGTTGTCCTCTTTGAGCACCATGATGGCTGCAGACAGGATCTCGAGGAAGCGTCGGACGGCCTCACCACGTGACAGCCAGCGAACGGTGTGTATCCCTTGTGCCTCCAGGTTCGTCTTGCAGAAAACATGCTGAATGTTATGAAACTTCTCGTACTTGACGTTGGATCGCGAGATGAGATCTGCAAAGCCACGGATGACTTCGTCAACCATGTAAAGTTCAGGCACAGCATCCGCGGCATCGCTTGCGGCTAGAGCCTCCCTGCCAAGTAATCAAAGTACGAGTTGTGAGTAATGAAGTTAAGAATGGTGCATCGCTTTCCCACCGAGTGCACGGAGAGACACTCACCGATGAGCGACAGAGTGCGTGGAGGCGTAGTGCGGGATCCTCATGCGCAGACGGGCGACAACTCCGCTGTTCTTGCCTGTCATGACACTAGCGCCGACCGTTGAAATGGCAGAGATCTTCTGGAGATCCAAGCCAATCCTTGTCAGGTACTGCACCACAGCAGAGGTCAAAGAGGCTGCATCAGCACGGTCAACATTGATGAGCATGATGAACTCGTTGACCACATCCGTGCCACGGAAAAAAGTAGCGTAAACGATTAGATGTTTGCCGTGGACTCGGTCTGTGCTCTCGTCCAGTGATAAGCCAATCCAAGGCGACTCCAACAAGTGCGATCGTTGCAGTTCTTGTAGGTACGTTGAGATGGCCAGGCGATTCTCTTTGAAGCCATATCTGCACACAACAACAGATAACAACATCATTATATGTGAATATCACCCGTGGCTACCGCTACAAAAACAAGCGCTTACTCAGTGTAGTAGGCGCCATATCCGCCACCGTTCAGAAGGTCTGGAAGGCCTTCCTTTGCCAAGAACCAGCAGAGCGGGATGAACATCGAGATCGGTGCATCCGCCCTGCAGATAAAAAGCGCAATATGAAGCACGCGAATGATGTGACGCGTAGACGCGTTAGTTGACTGCCACCGAGTTAGTTTCGCCTGTTTCTCCTTCTCAGCTGCAGCTTCTTCTTGGTTCTTGACCGCGCTCTTGTGGGCTCGTGTTGAGGAATGGGCCCGGACGCTTCCCATCTGCAGGTCGCGTCCACCTTCACCTCTCACACCGTAGCTAGTGTGAGCTGCGAGGTCGCCATGCTGCACACAGATGTCACACTTGAGTTTTGCTTCTCCGTTAGGCATCCGAATAAGACGCAACCACTTGAATTTACCCTTCCACTCCGTCTCAAAGCGATGCTTTATGGTCTCATAGAGAACGTCACCGGTAGTTTTAGCGGGCGCCTCGTTTTGGGTCGCCACTGGACATTGCGGTGAAGCTTCTTTACGGGGTGGCGGGGCTCCCCATAGCTGCTGATGCGTGTACTTCGCTCCCACACGCGGGCGTTTCCCCGGGGTGCTGTTCACAGTGGACGGTGAAGCCGCGGAGGGTCTAGAAGACCCTTCACCATCGTGAGAAAATGAACGAGAATGGATTGACTAAGGGAAAGTTGGGTACAAGTACAAACCCTAGAAAGTCGTACCCCATATGTGCTACAACAGCATATGTCATATAAATCTGACACACCCCCATAGGCAAAGTGAGGGAGAACAAGGGGTCACAAGACCAGTCAAGCAAAGCAAAGCAAGCTCAGGGTGGATCACTAAGTCACCACACATTCCGAGCACAAGTTCAAGGCCACAAGGCCAGTTCACAAGCAGGATTACACATATATATAAGGCTAGACAAGCAAGAGCAAGTGTATACATATATGAAACAGTACAAACAAGGTCAAGTGGTGAGCAAGTGAGGCAAGGCAGACACAAGACCCAGCTGAGTACAGAAGCGCTGATGATCACAAGGCGCAAGCGCCTTGGTGAAGATATCAGCCGTGTTGGCCTCAGAGGCCACGTACACAAGGCGCAGGTGACCACGCTGCTGTAGCTCACGAGCAAGGAAGTAGCGAAGAGCAATGTGCTTGAGGCGAGGAGTATGTGAAGCCGAAGTGCTGAAGGACCTGCTGCACCATGTGTGACTGAGTCAGGGTAATGGTGCGGCGTGCTCTGTCCCGGGTGATATGCAGACCAAGGTAGCTGCGCAGTTCACCCAGGTCTGTGCACGTGTGTCTCTTCTGCAGCTCGGCCTTCACGTGGGCGAGTCCAGCAGTGTCAGCTGTGGCAAAGACCAAGTCGTCGACGTACACGAGGATGTAGAACGGCGGCAAAGAAGTGTCGGTGCGCAGAAACAGCGACGGGTCGGCAGTAGAGGGAGCAAACCCAAGAGCCGCAAGTGTAGTCCTCAGTGTGT